AAAAAAAAAAAAAAAAAAAAAAAAAACAAAAACAAAAACCAAAAACAAACAGCTTCAGTGAAAAAATGATCCAACAGATAGAGTATTTTAAGAGTATCAGATGAGGTCCTAAGAATCTAAGTTGAAAGATAATTCTTCTGTCCATTAGTCATAAAGCATGCTTTTTTGAACAAGTTTGTGACACCAGGAAAGAATAGAACTGGGATATATATGTACCTTGCTCTACTCAGTCAAGCTAATCTAGCAGACAACTGCAGAACAAAACTTGAAACACAGAGGTATATTTGCTGAAATCTACAGGAACAGAGAAATAGCACTAATCCTTAATATATGTTATAAGCGTCTTTTCAGTTTTATTGAATAAAGTGACTAATAAATTTAAAAATGATAACAGGCCTTAAAAAATGTAAAGACCTGCATGTTTTCTTAAGTTTCTACTTTGGAAGCAATAAAGGCCCACTTAATACTAAGTTATATAGAAGCAAGAAGTTCTGATATGCTATTGAACAGTAGAGATATAGCTGTGGTCCATAATCTATATTTGGAAAAGCTAGGATTTTTAAGTTTTTACCATAATTGAGTAATGTTTGTTCTAATTTAGACATTATATAATGCATTATACGTGTACAAAAGCACATTACTCCATTAATATGTATATTTTTTATGTTTTTATGTAACAATTAAAAAGCAAATAAGTGACTTTTTTTTTTAAAAGACCTAGCAAATGTAAAAGTGTATTTCCCATCCCTTGGTCAACTGTTTGGTTGTAGAGCTTCCTCCTCTTCCCACACACAGAGGGAATGAAGTGCATTTCAACCTAAGATGAAACTCTGGACCCCCCGCTGCCCTTTTCTGGGGCAGTCAGAGGATCAGACTCTCTCCTTGGGACTCATAGAAGAAAGTGTGCCAGAACACAGAGCTTTTAAAACGAATCTACAGAGCTGAGTGAAATACTCTGGTTCTCACTGCCATTCCAAATGCCATGAAGAGTTGTAAACAGGCCCACTGTATGCCCCTTTCTTCCTCTTTAATCTAGACCAGTGGCTCTCCAGGCATGGTTCTCGGATCAGCATCACTTTCAACCTGTTAGAAAGCCAACCACTCAGTTGCAACTCCAGGCCCAGGAACTGAGATACTCCAGGAATAAGATCCAGCAATCTGTTACAACCCTCCAGGTGATTCTGATGCAGCCCTAGTGTTCTAGAACCACTGATTCAGGCCACTGTTATTTCTATAACCATAAATAGATTACTTTCCCTTTTTATGGAAAGCAAAAGTGTAATTCTCATTTATCCTTAAAGCCCCTTCAAGGCAGATATTATGGCCACTTTAGGGATAAGAAAACTGGCTCTGGGGTTAAGTGCCGCTCAATCTCCCAAAGCTATTATGTAGGTGGAAGACTTCTGTACTCTTCATTATTACAATATAGATTTGTCACACTCCATTATCAAAGCCAGGGGAATTGTTTGTTTCTTTGTTTTTGTTTTGGCTCTTTCAGCATTTTTCAATCGGAAAAAAACAGAAACGAGTGAGAGTAGTGTGCAAGAATGTCTCAGGCCCCACCGAGTGGGAACCTCAGGCCAGCGCTGTGGAAAGGCATTTATCTTTTAAGGAAAGAGCAATTCTGCCGCGGTCCCTCCGGTCTCAGTTGAGGGAGGTCGGGCTCTGAGAGCTGCTCACCTCTCCTGGCAGGCCAGGCAGCCCCCACGCAACAGGTGGTCGGGCCAAGGGACACCCTGCAACTCAGGCCGAGAGAACCGGTTTACCTGGGCAAATTTCTGCTCCCCAAAGCTCAGCGGACTTCTAACCGGACACCGCAGTTCCCAGGAGGGCGCGCGCGGTGAACCCGAAACCGCTGAGGGCCGCGAGGAGGAAACCGCAGGTCCCACGAGGGTCGCAGGGAAGCTGAGCGGGCAGAGGCGCAGGCCAGCACTCACCGTGAGGGTCGCTCTTCTCCCGGACCCCGTCCACGCGGCCGTCGGGGTGGATGCGCAGGAAGAAGCCCCCGTTTTTGCAGTACAGCCGCTTTGGGTCCTTGA